TACTGTTGTACCTCTATGTAAGAAACTATTCAATGTTTAATAACGTACTGTTGTACCTCTATGTAAGAAACTATTCAATGTTTAATAACGTACTGTTGTACCTCTATGTAAGAAACTATACAATGTTAAATAACGTACTGTTGTACCTCTATGTAAGAAACTATTCAATGTTTAATAATTTACTGTTGTACCTCTATGTAGAAATTATTCAATGATTTAATAACGTACTGTTGTACCTCTATGTAAAAGTCAAACATGCTTGATCTTTACATATCAAAAAGAAATATCGGTGCATGGGCGTCCGCAGAAATTCTTCCGGGGGCGGGGTGGGCAAAGTAGTGTGAAATTGTGAATTCAATAAAAAATCCATATACATATGCTAAATGAATAAAGAAATAATTACGTTTCTCTTGCCCCCCACCGTTCTGCGGACGCCCATGCTTCAGTGTGGTTTCAACTTATATTACATTTGTCAGTTTGTCGAAAATCAAAACACTTAGAGAAGAAAAAAAAACTTTAAAAATTTACTTAAGTTTCTCTCGACTAATAAGGCCATAACAAGATTTTGACTGGCTTACATGCCTTTTACTTTCATTCGCCTTACAACTGTTCACATCTAAAGATAAAACTACTAAATCCTTTAAAATCGTTTCAATTTTAATTAGGTGTTCGTTAAAACCTTGATAGTTTGGAAAGAGAAAGTTATGGTAAACCCCGCAGGGCTTTTTAAAAATGATAAATAAGCTGTATCTCCTTAATCTTTCATATAAAGACAGACAAAGCTTACGAAACAAAAGTTAAAATAAAACCCAGTAGACTTTAATAAATGATTCAAACTTTAAACAAGCCATGTATCTTTTTAACTTTTCGTCAAAATCCACACAAAGTTTATATGAAAAAGTTAAAATATTTTTAAGCTCCTGTGTCCGCTATGATGAATGGAACTCCGAATTTTTGTATTATAAGCCTTCAGGCTTATCGTTGAGTCACCAGAGAGACATAAGTTTAAGATAAAACTCACTGGACTTTATAAAAATATTAAAGCTTTAAACACATTGTATCTCCTTAACCGATCGTCCAAATCTAGACTATATCCCATTAACCAATCGTCCAAATCCAGACTATATTCCATTAACCGATCTTCCATATCCAGACTGTTTCTCATTAACCAATCGTCCATATCCAGACTGTTTCTCATTAACCAATCGTCCAAATCCAGACTGTATCCCATTAACCGATCGTCCAAATCCAGACTATATCCCATTAACCGATCTTCCATATCCAGACTGTTTCTCATTAACCAATCGTCCATATCCAGACTGTTTCTCATTAACCAATCGTCCAAATCCAGACTGTATCCCATTAACCAATCGTCCAAATCTAGACTGTATCCCATTAACCAATCGTCCAAATCCAGACTG